CCCCCACTCCCTTCCCTTCCCCCTTTTCCTCTTCCCCTTCCCTCCCCCACTCCCTCCCTGCTACACTACAGACAACAACCTTGCTTCCTCACCTGCACTTCATCCACATTCATAAAGCTGGGGGCGCTGTGGGTGCGGGGCATCGCATGCGGGCTGGACATGCCCAGACTGTCCTTGACACGCGCCAGGCTCTGCGGGCTGCCCACGCTGCCCACCGCAGCCCCACCCTCGGGAGGTGGGCCGTCCCCGCAGCTGGTCCCGCTGGCCGAGGTGTGCACCGGGTGACCCAGGCTGGACAGGTTTCGGCACGAGGAGTTGGCCGAGGCCACAGACTCCGAGGGCATGAGGGACACGTGGCAGTTCCAGCCCGCCTCGATGCCCATCTTCTCCGCAAACACCTGGCAATGTAAATGAGGGTGAAAGTTTTACAATTTTAGTAAGTGTTTACTGCACTTGTAACACAATTGGGTCATAAAAGATCTGCAGATCAGAAGTGTTACTAGCGACTTAAGTTAAGTATTAGTAAGAGTTTTACAGCATGTTAAAGACATTCGAAGAAATAAGTGCTGAAGATTAGAGGTATCACAAGAAGGCAAGAAAATCATCACGTTTCACAATAGGCCATTTTACAAGAGCTATGGGTCACAATTGTCAAACAATAAAAAATGTACACAGCACGGACATTCCATAAAGACCACATTGCCTTGTTTTATTTTAACACTCTAGAATGTAAATACTCACTCGACTTCGGACTTCATTCTCCTTGGAAAAGTGAACAAATCGGATACAAGCAGACTCCAGTTTGTCAATCATCTGGACAAAGTCCTGGGGTGAGGAAATAAAAAAAGAGAGAAAGATAAAGAAAAAAAAAGAAGAAAAAATACAAAATTAAATTATTTCTGTGGGGACCTCAATATCATAATGGTGTAAGAAATCACTCCAACAATAACAACTCATGAGCGAAATTATTTCACACCATTTAGCAATAACAGTTCTTTAGTTTTAGAAATAGTTTTTACAGCTCTTCCAACACAATTAGGCCATATAAGTGCCAAAGATTAGAGGTAGATTCTATTACAAGAGAATAACAAACTCAAAAAAGGAGGAGAGATACGGGCGATAGATGGATAGAAAAAAAACCCA